ACAAATTTACAAACGGAACACGGTGAGCCACCGAGCAGAGGCAGCCGAGAGAGCACACGGGGAGACGAGTTGCACACACTCTCTGAGACGGCAGGACGGTCAGGCAGACGCCAACACACATTCTCCCCCAAAGGAGTCTGAACGGTGCAGCCTTAAGTTATTTTAGGTAGTGCAATGGAGAACACGAAGTTAAAGACGCGGCGAGCTCCTCTGGTCCACTTCTGGCCTAACAATTCCAGCCCACACTCACCCGTGGGTTCACACATCCGCCGGGGGTCGATGGCTCCCCGACATTTCTGTGTAAGGTTCCAGATTCGTGCTGTTCCCAGTACGTCGGTCCTTTCCCATGCATTACAGAGATATTCCCATCTCTTGGAGGTGAGAACAAACAAAATAAATATGCCCGAGTGTATGCAAGTGTGTGCAAATGCCTGGCAAGCATGGCAGGCATATGAACACACAACTGAGTGTGCACGTGGGCGTGGGTATATATGGGTGGTGTGAGTGCATGCGTGTACACGGGTCTATAATGCTTGCACACAGCAGCAGTGTGCCATTTCTACCGGCATAAGCACACAGATCGTACCCGTCTGTAGAATGATTTAAACGGCGGCCTTCAGGACACGTGCGGAACCGTGAGAGGAGACGCAAGGACCCTGAGAGCATGGCCAGCCGCACAAAAAAAAGACTGGAAGGAAGCCGGTCCTCATCCCCTTCTCGTGTTACTTCCAGGTGGCGGGGAAGCAGGTGGCTTTCGTTGTCCCCTTCAGGGTTTTCTGCTGCTCCACATGTCTATTATGACTAAAAAGGATGTTGTTGGTTTTTTTTTCAGTGTGCATTAAAAACTGACTTTGTTGAACCACACAGGAAATACATGGGTACAATGAAAAGAAGTGAAGCAATGGAAAAGAAACTAAAATATAAGAAAGCAAAGGGTATTACTTAGGAAAGATATCTTTTTAAAATCCAGGGTTGGAAGGTTCCACCTTTCCATTTTCCGGGGTGGGGGGGTGTTGTCATTTTGGGGAGGGGAGCAAAGGGAGCTCTTCTTGGCTTAAGCCCGTCGCCGGTTCCCAGGCCGATGCCCGAGTCCATCTCTGGGGCAGCCGGGGACCACTGTGGGGGAATTCCCTGGGGAGCCCCGCCCCTCCTGAGTGGGGGGTTGGGAATCGATGGCTACTTCATGGTGCTTTTTGAGGGCTGCTTAGCTTATTTCTTTTTTTTTTTAAAGATTTTATTTATTTATTTTTAGAGAGGGAAGGGAAGGAGACAGAGAGAGAAACATCAATGTATGGTTGCTGGGGGCTGTGGCCTGCAACCTAGGTATGTGCCATGACTGGGAACCGAACCTGCGATGCTTTGGTTCGCAGCCCGTGCTCAATCCACTGAGCTACACCAGCCAGGGCTAGCTTATTTCTTTAGAAAAGAAATAGCCATAGAAGTTGATTGTAGAAAACGTGGAAATGGACCGAAAAAGGCATAGAGGTGCTCTAAGAGTGGTTGAGAGCCGCCCCGTCTGGGGCTCCGCTGTCGCCCAATTTCTTAAACGCGTGCCGGCCGCCTTGCTGGTGCCAGACGCACAGAGAACGCAGCGGGAATGTGAGACGCACTCCGGGCCTCGCGGGTCTCGTCATCAGCTTGGGAGAAGCGGCCACAGAAACGGTCTGTCCAACTCCATCTAGCATGAAGGAATGTGTTAGAAGAGTATGGTGTGGCCCCCAGGTTCCATGGAGCAGCCGGGGGTCTTCAGAAAGGGCAGGAGCTCCAGGGACCCAGGCGGCAGGGGTACGTGGGCACTCTCCCAGGAATGAATCAGGAATGGCTGTCACCTGGGCGCTGTCCCTCTGCTAGGAGCGTCGGGGACAGCAGCCAGTCTGGGTCAGGGCGGCGGGAGGCACACAGGAAACCAGGCTGCAGGTACCAGGGAGAGGGTGCTAGGTACAGGAAGGCCACCCCCTGACTTCCTCGACCTGCCCCTGAGTCCAGGCCCTGCGTCCCAGTAGCCGTGGGGGCCGGGGCAGGTTGCTCAGCCTGCGGCCCCTTCTGCCCTCTTATTTCTGCAATGGGAGGGACAACTCCAGTTCTGGGGTCGGGATGAGGATGAACCGAGTGTTCTGTGCAATCAGATCAGCAGGAAGAGGAGTCGTGGGTCGGAGTCGCAGAGTTCAGGAGGAGGTGGAGCGGCGAGGAACCCTTGACCCCAGGCCAGGTTCACACTCGGGCTCCCAAGCCACAGCTGCCTCGGGATCTGGCCGTTTCCCGGCTGCAGAGATCAGGCCGGTCACGCTCCTGCCTTGGGCCTCAGTATCTGCATCTAAAATGCTGTGGCTCTGCCCTGCCTGCCTCTCAAGGTGGCTATGAGGATCCAAAGCGAGGAGAACCTTGTAAATGGGGCCCATTGGGGTGGGCCTCTTGTGGGGGGGGTACAAAAGAGAAGAACATGCACAGGAGGGGCACCAGCAGTGCAAGGGACAGGGGGCACAGTGCACCCGCTACCACTCCCAGGCTGGTGGGTGCAATATCCTAATAAGAGCTTCCATTCCTTCAGCTACCGCCCTGTGCCAAGCTCTGTATAAAGTGTTGGGGCCACAGAAGTAGCACAAGGGACACAGCTCCTGGCCACTGGGAGCTTAGGCACAGGGCTGGAGTTCAAATAACCTGGGAGGTGCTCTGAGGGGGGCAGTAACAGGGACCTGAGTTGGTCTGGAGTCAGGGAAGGCTTCCTGGAGGAGGCGGTTCTGAACTGACAGCCGGGCGTGAAGGGGGTCACTGGGCCTGTAGGTGGAGGAAGGGCCCTCTGAGCAGTGGGGCAGTGCTGCAACAGCCCTTTGGCAAGAGGGAGGGCGTTGTGCTGGGGAAACCAGTTCAGGCTGAAGCAGTGCAGGCTGGGGTTGTCAGAGGGACACTCACCCCCTAGGGGGGACAGTGTACGCCAAGGGGTCTGCTGGAAGCACATTCTGTTGTTAGGACCCCAAGACAAGCCAATGAAACGGGAGCTGTCCCCCGCCCGGGGCACGGGCCCTCGGGCAGGTCGAGTGCCTCACGCAGGGGCACTCAGCCCACAGGACCGGGAGGGAGGGTGCCAGCCCAGGGGAGTGTGGCGGAGAAGACACCTTGAGCACGATGGGAGTGTTGCCGAGATGAGGGGGCACCCTCCGCTCCCCTGGGGACTGGGGAGCCACCGAGGTCTTAGAGCACAGCAGCCACTTAGCTCTCTTGTCAGAAGGCTTGTGACGGTTGCCAGGGACAACGTGATCAGGGCCAGCCACACCATGTGCCACATTTGGTCATGATCAGTGGTGACCTCGGCCCTGCCTTTCAGCAGAAAGCACTGCTGGTCAGGGGATCGGAGTCCAGCTGGCGGTCGCCGCTGTGGCCCCTCGGCCCTGCGGAGGGGGGCCAGTTGCTTCCTGTGACGTGTCTGCTCCGGGGCGGTGGGGCCAGAGAGGGGGCCCGGGTTCAGAGCACCCGCTGCTCACCAGCCTGGGACATGCCCCACAGGCCTGGGGGAGGTGACGAGATGCCCTGAGCCCCTCCCGTCCTGGCCTCTGTTTACCCACCCTAGTGTCCACAAAGGCTGGGAAGTACCCCCCAGGCCGACTGGCGAACGTGGGTCTTCACCACTTTCCACCCCTCTTGCAGGGTTCCCTGCATCAACACCTTCCATTCACGGCAGATGCGCTTGGCTTTCTTTTTTAAGATTTTATTTATTTATTTTTAGAGAGGGAAGGGAGGGAGAAAGAGAGAGAGAGAGAAACATCAATGTGTGGTTGCTGGGGGCGGTGGCCTGCAACCCAGGCATGTACCCTGGCTGGGAATCGAACCTTTGACACTTTGGTTCACAGCCCGAGCTCAGTCCACTGAGCTACGCCAGCCAGGGCTTCCTTTTAAGGTGGTGATAGGAAGTTAGTTTCAATACATTTCCAATAACTAGATTTGAATATTAATTCAGGATCCATTTAAAGAAAAGCACCCTTAGTGAGGAACGCAGAGGAGACATGGGGGTGTGAACACTGGCCTGCAACTCAGGGACAGCGGGGGTCTGGGCAGCATCGCCTCCTGTGAGCCCCACGGCAGCTCCGGACCGGGGACTGTCACCCCCATTTCATAGCTGGGAAAGCTGAGTCCCAAGAAGTGAACTTCCAAGTTGCCTCACGGCCGGCAAGGGACAAGCCCGTTCTGGAACCTGGGTGTCTCTGACACCCCACCCCACTCCCTACCCTACCTCACCCCGGAGTTCAGCTTGTCTGGGCAGTGGGGAGCCTTCCTCAGCTCCCCAGGCTGCTCCTGGGCGGTTCAGAGTTCTCCTGATGACGGGGGTTCGAACCCAGGCCCTGGCTCCACCATTTACCAACCTGTGGCCTCGGACCAGTGCCTGCCTTCCCCTGTGCCTGGTTACTCATCTGTAAGATGGGAACCACACCTGTGCCTGGGAAGACTGTTAAAGGGATTTAATGAGATGATGTCTGCTGTTATTGGGACAGCAGAATCCAGAGCCATGAAGCCACTCGCCCAAGTTCACGCAGGAGGAGTGACGAGGAGCAGGGCATGAATGTAGTAGGTCGGTTGGGCTCTCGAAAGGCTGGGTTTGGTGACCCCACGGTGGGAGACGCCGAGAGGATCTACCACGGAAGGAAAAGGTACCTGAATGGCGTGTCCTTGGGGAGCCCGTGGACTCTGCCAAGATCCCCAGGAGCAGTGCGGAGTCGGAAGCGAGGGAGGGCGCTTTCCTGTGGGAAAATATCAGGCGTTTCCACTTATGGCCGGATCACTGGGCCCCGCCGCGAGGTCCGAAGACAGATGATGTCACTGATCCTCTGTGGCCTCTGGGGTTAGGGAGCCTCTGGGGAAAGCGGGAGGGGGAGGAAGGGCTGGAGCCTGGAGAGACAGATAAAAGGGTCGCAGAGTTCCGGCGCCTGGCCCGCGGCCGAGGGTGCCTGAGCCAGCTGCACTGCGGGCGGGCGGGGAGGCTCAGGGGACGCAGGGGCCGAGGCTGGGGGTGGCGGAAGGGAGGAGAGGTGCCTGAGAGCATCGGGGGCTGCACGGCAAAGCCGAGGAGTGGAGATCCGTTCCTTCGGAGGATCGAAACTAGGATTAAACTAAAGATACATGTCGAATGCAAAGCACACCGTAGGTACCCCCAAATGGTAGCTGGTTGTCTTTTTACTGCGAAGCCTTGGGGTGATCCCCAGGAAAGGGGGAGAGGATCATAGGAACGGCTGTGCTTCCCACCGGAGCAGCCCGGGCCCGTCCCAACACAGAGCGCGTGGTAAGGACGAAACAGGGAGACAGCCCAGGGAGCTTGGACCTCAGCTCATGGCTCCGACTGATGGGGTGTGTGTGTGTCGGGGGGGATGCGGGCAGGGAGGAACAGGGCAGGATGGAGAGATGGTGGTTCATGGGGGAGTCAGACTGTGTTGCATTGTGGCAGAGCCTGGGCACCGTCCTGTACCCAGAGTTAAGCGAGGCAGCTGAGTGGCCGTGCCGATCGGGGCTTTGGAGCAGCGTTGCCAGGGACCGGGAAGACGGGCGGAGGCGGGGGAGAGGGGGCAGCTTTCAGGGCCTTGGGGTCCTCTAGGGTCGCTCCTTTGCCACGCCCCTCCTTGTTGAAGTTTTTCCCTGAGATCATTGCAGTTCACAGACAGCTATAGGAAATCATTCAGAGCGATCCCTTGCACATTGTGCTCCATTTCTCCCAATGGTGACATGTTGTAAAACGAGTCCTTTGCCACTTCTGACCTGGAGGGTGGGTAGGGTGATGGGGGCACCAGTGTGCAGATGGACAGGTGCTCAGGGAGCTCTGGTGATTGGGTGCCTCCTTTCCCATCACCTTCTCTCCCTCCATGAGCCAGGGTCATTTTACAGGTGGTTTTGGAAGCCTTGCAGCAAAAAGTCACAAGTTCATCCTTACAAACCCCTTCAGATTCTTTTTCTATCTCCTCACAGGAGACCAGGCCGTCCCCTTGGGCAGCACCCTTGACGTGGCCATACCCAACACACAGTGTAGCTGAGATGATCGGCTGACCAACCAAGGTTCAAGTTCCCTTTACATTATAGGGTGGTGGTGCAGGGAAGTACCTGCCCAGCCGGGAACTACATTTCCCAGCACCCCTTGCTGGTCATGTGACTAGTTCTCACTAGTGCAATGTGAGCAGAAGGGGTGATGGGCACTTTGAGGACTAGGTGCGAGGTGGTGGCAATACCGTCTTTCATCGTCTTTTCCTTCTCCCAGTCTGCCGTTCGGGTGACACCAGGGTGACCTTGTGACTGCAAGATGGCAGCAGAGCCACAAGAAGGAAGGGGCCTCTGTCCTGGAGCAACCACTGGAGAAGAGCCACCCAGGAGAGCCAGGGGTCAGGGGCATGAGCATCGGACTTTGTGGGAGTGAGGAATAAACATACGAAAACGTGGCAAATGCACAAACGTCGTAGTGAACACAGTCTAACAACCCACTGCATTCATCCATCACTCAGCCTCCAAATTATCAGTGTTTTCCCCAGTCCTTTACCCACCACTCTCACCCTCCTTGTGCATTTGTTTGCTGGAGTCTGTAAAGCAATTTCCAGACGTGCAAAAAGGCAGACCCAAACAAAACAAAGTGTCAAACACCCTTCATAGCGCTAAGCCACTGAGATGAGGGGCCGTTGCGACAGCAGGTGGCCCGGACTAGTGCAGTGGACACCGAGTACCCAGCTGTTGACGGCAACGTCACTGACCTGTGTTTGAGGCTGCGCGGCCCGGAGGAATGTGTCTGGGCCCAGAGCAGCGAGAAAGCCAAGTCGTCTTTCTATCTCCGTGAGAAGTAGTTCTCTTCGTTCTCTGGCCCAGCTGCACCCGGCCGCACCCACCCACCCACCCACCCTACCGGCCCCTGCCTCCTCCTGGCTCCTCCCCTTTCAGGCCTTGGACTGCTCAGAGGACGAGCAGACCCAAATGGGATCAGGATTAGAGGATTTTCCAGGCCATTCCTCGGCTGGGGCTAGGCCGGGTGTGGCGGGGTGAGGCCGGAACCCAGAGCAGGCCGAGGGATGGATGCTGGAAACCCAGAGCTTATGAGCAGCAGGGGCTGGGGCCAGGGCCGTGGAGACTCTGGTGCCTTTCAGCCTGGCCTGTGTCCATGACCCTGAAGCACAGAGGCAGGATGGAGGTTTGCGGTCAGACCTGGGGTGGGGAGGCGCAAGCCCTTTCCGAAAGTCATCGTGATTGAGGCCGGTGGGGCAGCCCTGTGCCTGGCGCCGGGGCCAGCTGGCGGCCCTGTGCCTGGCTCAGCCCCTCCCCTCCGGCACGGTGACCTTGGGCATATTCCCTGGGAGCCTCAGACTCCCCGTGTCGAAAATGAAGATGGAAATATCAGCCTCCCCAGGCCCCGGGGAAAGCGGCCGTGATAAGAGCCTGGCACCCCGTCTCCGTGACTCATAGCGATTGCTATTGATTTCTGTTAACAATAAGGGCAAGTACAGGGAGCGGGAGCAGGCACCCATCCAGGGAGTGGGTCAGGCCGGGAGGGTGCCGAGCCCCTCCCTCTTGGGAGCTGTTTCCCGACAGGGAGAAATGGAGAAGGCGGGAGCCCAGCGCCTGCTCTGGGAGCGGCCGGCTCTGCTTTGCGTGTCGGAGGAGCGAGGCGGGCGGGATCCTGAGACTCAGGGGCCCTTTCCTGGAAGGGAGCTGGGCTGGCCGCAAACTGCTGCCTCCCTCGGAGACAGCTGCACAGCTGTCAGGAAAAAACAGCTGTGTGGCTTCCCTTCAAAGAGGGGAGCCCTCCGTCCTGTGGGGACAAGGGCAAGACACGGCAGAAAACAGGAATGCCCAGGCAGGTTCTCTCTCGGGAGGGGTAGACTGGCTTCCAAAGCCTGGGTTTCTGGCTGTGTGACCTCGGGCAAATCCCTTCCCCTCTCTGAGCCCGAGTGGTCACGCTTTAAGTGAGGATGGCGATGCTTATCCCACAAGGCCGTTGTGAGAAGAGGAAGTCAGTGGTCTAAACTGCCTTGCACAAGGGCCTGGTGCGTGGGAAGCAGCTGAGAAAGGTCCCTGCAGATCCCTCGCACCCTCAGACTAGATGACACTCCTCTCCTTCTCTGGAGCAGCTTCTCCGTGTCAGAGGTCCCGTTGCCTCTTCCCGTCCCTGCGTTGACTCTCCGCGGGGGCTCGCCCACTCCCACAGCAGCACGCCCGCTCCCAGCGCGCCACCTCCGAGGATGGCACCTGAAGCTGCGATGCCCCTGCTATTGTTGCTCACGGTTCCTGCTGTTCTCCCAAATCTGTGTCCTCTGCCCCCGCCCCCCCCCCCCCGGCCGCCTTCCCCATCCTGGGAAAGAACCTCCATTCAGCTGGAAGGTCATGACTATTCTGCCTCAGCCCCCAAGTCCAACCCATCAGCGAGGCCTGAGGCCTCTACCTTCAAGCCCCGCCCCCACCTCCACTGCCACCTCCGTGGTGGTCCGCCACCTCTCTCCCACTGTGCGGTGCAGCCCCGCCCCACGCTCCCTGTCCCCACGGAGCCTCTCCCACAGCCGGCTCTCCACGCTGCAGCCCCCACCCTTTTACTTTTAACTGTTGACTTTGACATAAACCCTAGACCTAAAGAAAAATCATAAGAACAGTACAAAAAATGTTCCATAAGCTCTTCAGTTCCCTACAGTTTATTTATCATTCTTGTCACATGCACACACATGCGCACACATTTTTTTTCTAAAAAGTTTGAGGGTAAGTGGCAGACACAATGCCCTTTTGTCCCTAAATACTCCAGCGGGGACTCCCCATGAATGGGGCTCGCTCTGATGTCACCGCAGGATGGGGGTCAAAAACAACCCATACAGCACCGCGAGCAATCCACACGCCTCACGCACGCTCCGCCCACTGTCTGGAAAGAACAGTCTAGAGCACGCATTGCATTCTGCTGTCACGCCCCTGTAGTGGCCTTCAACTGGGAACATTCTCCATCTGTCTTTGCCGTGACCTTGGCATTTTTGAGGAGCCCAGCCCAGTTATTTTGCTGCATGTCCTTCAGCCGGGTTCTGCCTTATGTTTCCTCCCACGGCGAGCTTTTAAAAGGTGAATGAGACCTCCCCGCTCTCCGGCTCCCAGTGGCCGTCCCTCGCACCCAGAGAAAATGCACGCTCGGTGCCAGGCCTCCGTCAGGCAGCTAGCTGCCTGACTGCCCTAATGTGGGAGGTCAGAAGATGGAGTGGGCGGGGCCCGTCGGCTGCCCCGCCCTCTGCCCCGCCCACTGCACCTTCCGACCTCCCTCCTTAGACTCATCTCCCCAGTGGCGCCCGACCTCCCCAGCCCCGCAGGGTTACTCTCAGTGCTTGGCCCTGCTCCGCCTCTCTGCACAGCCCCACCCGCCCTCGGACTGCACAACAGCAGCTTCCGCCGCTGGCACGTGGGGCCCGGGAGGGCAGGGGTCCGGCTTGTCTCGGCCGCTGGCTACCCGACATCCTGGTCCCGGCACTCCTGCTGGGGCCCACGAAGGGTGTGGAGGCTCCCTGTCTGCTCACTTCTCGCGGACCCTTGGCCCAGGGGAGTGCCCCCCTTTTCTCCAATAAAGCATCTCCCTTAATCCATCCCTTGCGATGTGGTAGGATTTGGCTGAAGCCCGCGTGTGTGATGGGGGAGCCCCTTCAAGGGTCCTGTGGATCACACAGACGGACCTGGCGTCCCAGCCCACCGCGTTACTTCCGGCGGCGCGGCGCTGCGCGCGCTACCGAGCGCGGGGATCTGCTCTCCGAGCTCTCACCTGGAAAGAGGAAACGAGAATACTCAGCTCGCGGAGCTGCTAGGTGGAGCTAAGGTCATGAATGCGGAGCGTCTGGCACACCGCAGGTCTTTTGTCCCGTGTCTCTCTCTGTAGTTGGGGAAATAATAAGACCCACCAGGTCTTCGGCAGAAATGGGCAAGGGGCTGTAGCGGAGCCCCCCCAAAGACACGACCCTGTCCTGATCCCCAGGACCTGTGCATGCGACCTAATTTGGCAAAATTCAAGGTGATGAACTATCTTGAGCTGGGATCACCCTGGATTGTCCAGTGGCCCCTGAATCCAATGACAAGTGTCCTTCCATGAGAGAGGCACAGAGGACAAGACAGAAGCACGGAGGAGATGACGTGAAGAGGGAGGAGGGACTGGAGGATGCGGGGACAATCCAGGAGCTGCCCAGGACGGCCGGCAGCCGCCAGAAGCCGGTGGGGAGGGCACATGTGCGGGAGGGCCCGACCGCTGGGGTTCGTAAGCTGCTCGGAGCCAGGCAGAGGGAGTTGGTACTGGCCGTAGACGGGCCTTGTCCCAGATGCTGACGGCCAACCCCAGGGCTCCTGGGACGGCAGAGACCAGTGGGATGTCACGGCTCCTCTCGGTGGGAGTGGGGGGAGGGGGCCGCTGCCTGGTGGGGGCAGGCCGCTGCCCTCGGTAGCGCATTGCTGGGACAGCACGGAGCAGGGCTGTGGGGCCCGCAGACAGCTCTGCCCGCTGCACCAGTCTGTCTCCCAGCTCTCACCGTTTCCACTGCATCGCATGTTTCCCCGGGAGCCTTGGCATCCTTTGCCGGAACCTAACTCACCGCGTCCGGCTCCTGCCACAGCCCAGCCGTTTGCACGGCGGCCCCAGGAAGCACGCAGGCAGCACAGAGCCCACGGCCCTCGTAAGGCTGGACGCCAGCCTCGGGTTCACTCTCATCCCCAGAGTCTCTGCAGCCCCCAAAGGAAGGCCAGGCCTGCTGGCGGGTCGCAGGCAAGCTGGAGCTTCCGATCACCCTTCTTTGTGAGGTTCCCCGCTGGAGCTTTCTCCTGGGAAAAGCCACCTCCCAGCTGGGGACAGGGGGAGGGCTGGGGCGCCCAGGCCGCCTGCATGCTCTCCGCACTGCACGCCCCCCCACTGGGGCCAGCTCACGGGGCCATGACGGTGTCTCCGGTGTGGCTCATGCCCTCGGCAGGAAGAAGAAAGCTGCTCCAGGCACCACAGACCCCAGGGAGCGCGGACCTCAGGAGACACGTGGGGAGCTAGCGAGGAGGTGGCGGTTTCACACCCTGTCACAATGGAGGTAGCAGTTTCCTTTTTGGGGACTGCCAGCGTGACCTACATCCTTCTACCCAGGATGCTAGTTCAGCACTTGGATGAAAAGGGCAGGTGAGGATGCACTCTGAGCAGACGGAGCCAAAGGGAGAAGGGTCTCTGCTCGCGTGTTCCACGCACTGTCCCCCCACCTCAACCTCCCACTCAGCTCATTCCCCGGAAAAACCCTCCTGGTGCTTTGTAAGCCAGCTGGGGGGCCCCCCCGCCCAGCCAGCCCGGGGCAGCCTTCCACTGCTGTCCATGCTGAGCTGCCCCTGCTGGGGGTGGTCGCAGCCTCTTCAGTTGGATACCGGGCTCTGTATCTGGACAGGTCAAGCTCTGCCCACGGGAATGAGGG